GAGAGGCGATTAGATTACTCAAACCAGTGCACAGCAAATTATGTTTCTACATAAACGAATTGCAAACCGGCTCTATGGTATGAAGGAAAATATTATGATAAGACTGGTACAGGCTTTTGTCATCAGTCGTATTGTATATGTAATTCAGTACCTCACTGCAAGAGGCCGAGAGAAAAAGCATTGACAGAATCATTAGACGAGTTCGTCTAATGATTTAACAGGCGATCAGACTTTCAATGACTAACCCTAATGAGAAATTACTTGAATTAGGGCTTCACAACACATCAGAAGAACTTATAAAAGCTCAAAGAATCGCACAATATGAAAGACTAACGCAGTATAAAACAGGCAAAGCCATACTAGAGGAACTGGGTATAAACTACGCAAATCAATTTGGCACCAAAAAGGATATCCCGTATGAGATCAGGAAATGTTTAGTAATCTTACCAATTCCAAAAAACATGCACCCTGACAATCACAAGGCAAGGAGAGCTAAAAGAGCGAAAAATATACACAACAACGTAAAAGATTTATTGGAAACAACATACGTAGACGTGGCCAAATACAAAGGAAATGACAACATGACTACAGCAGTGGTGGACTACAAAGAAAATCATAAGGTCAGTGGCTCAGTGAGAACGAGCTTTACAGAAGAGGCTGAGGAAGCAGCTATTGCAATGGTCATAGCATCCACCTCGACTTTACTAATTGTTAGCGACACGCAGACGGCTGTGAGAAACTTTGCACGAGGGCGAATATCCCAAATAGCTTTAAGAATATTGGCTGGATGCAAAGACCAAAGAACAATGGATATAGTCTGGGCACCCGCTCACTCCCCCTTACCCGGCAATGAGGCTGCACACCAGACAGCTCGAAGACTTACAGACCGAGCCTCTGGATTGCCCTGGTCGAGCGGGGAGGACGATGAGAAATTTGAGCGGATGACCACTTACAGATATTACACAGTATTACGGGCTAAGCAGGGAAATTGATCTTCCATCACACCCATCATTTAACAAATTACAGGGGGTGGCGTGGTGCCTACTCCAGACCCATACGTTTCCTAGTCCGGTAACAATGAACCACTGCGTGCCGGAACTTCATTCAGACAAGAGTAAATTTTGCCCCAACAGAGCGGACTTGAGCCACACTTTATGGGAATGCCCGCAGGACCCCATGAGAGGCGAATTTCCAGATGGGAGTGCATGGAATACCGCGCTCCTCAGCTCTGACTCTCAATTACAAGCCTGCTTAATACAGCAGGCCGAAGACGCCGCCAAGTCCCATGGGATCATGGCCGTCGTCTAGGTTTGGTCCTCCCTTCTCTCACACCTGGAAAGATTGATTGATATGTGGGGTTTAACATCCCAAAACCACCATTTGATTATGAGAGACGCCGTAGTGGAGGGCTCCGGAAATTTCGACCACCTGGGGTTCTTTAACGTGCACCCAAATCTGAGCACACAGGGAACACACCTGGAAAGGGAGGAGGATCTTTCTGCTAATTAAATAAAGTTTGGTCATCATCATTATGGTGTCATGATACGTAATTTCATGTGGCAAACTCGAAAATCAAGTAAAAAGTTTGCATAAACCAACGCAAATAACTTTATTTTGCCGAAAACAAGCAGCAGGCACTGCGGCGGCCATTGCAAGTCTCGTCGCCGCTGTGATTGGTCGAAGCTCCATGGCAACACAATCAGTAAGGTGAAGACAGCTGACTGCGCTCGCCGGCAGTCAATGCCGTGTTTATCTGTTGAGGCGGTGCGCTGTGCTCTTTACAGGGCTGCAGAAATTAGGCACCTTTTCCTCTTCTAATCACTACCACCACCACAACCACTATCCGTTGAAATCGGGCAGTTGACGTAAGTATGGCGAACTGTGAAAGTCAGACCGAGTTCGCTGTACATCCATTCGTACATGTTCAAGTCGGTCGCCACTTTAAGGCCTACGACTGAAGCCGCACATGAAAGGGAGTCCCTACCAGCCACCTTCACCCGCGTTGGAAACATTGAGTGGTACGTATAAGATGCATGCCAGTGCCTAATTTTACTGTAGCAAGCTGTTACAAATGATACACTTATGAGTGGATATCAAATTCAATAAGAAATAGCAGCATTGGCACACCCTTTTAGCCTATTGACACGGTCCGCGCTACGGGTGGGCAGGGAGCAGAAACATCAGCTGTTCGTGAATTTCACAGTTCCGAGTGCGGCGTTGTTAATGCAGTCAGTATCGTACTACGCAGCGGGAAAGGCTCACGCGATGAATCAGTATGCTACCCCGAGAAAAAAAAAACTAGCGAGACGAGTGCCGCTCTTGCCACAGTGGCGGTATGTGCTTTGAACTGTGCTGAAAATTGCGCAAGAATAGATTGGCTCATATATTGCAATTTTGCTTTTTATAATACCGTCGCTTTTTCTAAATTCTGCCCAGTACTACATTGATGATGTGTTCAAATGCAAACAGTGTATTAGCTGTGCTAGAAGCATGCAACTGTCATGTAGAATAGCTGATTTCGAATATGCGTACTGATATCTTTGTACATGCGTTTTCGCTATAAGTGCTCATGCACGCACTGCAAGCAGATTGGGAAAGAGGAGTTCTGCTGCTGCCTCGAAATTTGGCAGATTCGCGACCACCACAGTGTGCTTAACCTCATCGGTTTGAAGTATTTTCTTCTAACTGCAGCGGCCCATTTTGCAGCCATCTTCTGATCCCGAGAAAACTTGTGAAAAGCAACCTCATAGCGACCTTAAGTGCTGCGGCAGCCATATGTCGCGCAGGTACTCTGCATCGCGAGTCACCTCAACCTTGCAAAAACACAGCTAGTATATGTCAGATGGCGAAAACCTATAATCAAAAGAAGAGAACAGTGCAATGGCAAAAAATTTCTACGAACTGGCAGAACTGATGCTTCGCCAGGCAGCAGATCACAGCAGAAACAAGACACAACTGCAAAGTAAACAAGCTGAACTGAATGAGCGATCATGCTGAACGACGCAGGCGGCCTGGCACATAGTTGCCCGCCGGGCAGCGGCTGGACCCTGAAGGTGATATCACCTTCCCATGTGTCTCTCTCTTCTGTGCTCCGCTCCTGCACGTGCGTGTGCCGGGGAGGGGGGGAGGGGCGGGGCACGTTCCCTTGGTGGAAGTTAGCTCGCTCATAGTAACATTGTTAAATCGAACCTCGCCAAAAAATTCGTAGACATGTTGTAAGAGGTCGTGAATAGCGAATTCGCAATAAATTCGCGAATTCAAAACCTCTTCACTGTCCCTTTAATAAAAGCAAAAAAGAATCACATGGCATGTACCCGTAAACCAATTTTGAATAGTGTAATCAGACACCTTGTCATAATATGCATGTGCCAAGTGATCCCTTTTTGTTTCGATTAACCAAATGTGTAACAGAAATGAAGTCAGCTGTCACACGGTGCGTGTCTGCTCCTTCAAGCCTTGCGCATGAGTCATACTGCCTAAAAAGCAAAAGTTTCTTTGCTGCTTTAATAAGTTCTGCAGCATACAGGCCTTATGACCTTAAAACATTCTGAGCTGGCCTGCGACCTGAATGAAACGCTGTTACTACCGAAGTGTTCCAGCTGCAACCATGCCCTCTCCTAATTGGGTCATAAAAAAGGAACCTGCCCACCAGTGTCAGTTGTTGGGATCTTCGTGTGTCTCCGGTGGGAGAAGAGCACAACATAAAACAGCAGTGGCCAGCAAATTTTTTGAGCTGCGTGGACGTTCACTTTTCTTTGGTGGGTCATACAAATAAGTTGCTGTAGTTTTCATCTCCAAGTCTTGTTTCGCTGTAGTTTTTTTTTTTCTAAGTAAGACTAGAGGGAGTTCCCCTGCAAATTTTGGCCATGATCATACATTGGAGAAGACAGATAAGAAAATTGGGAGAGTTGGCAGGTATGCAGCACTGTCTAGGCATCTCTCTGGTACTTGAACCACAGCTAAACACTGCCACTATGCCACAAAACTGAGGAAAAAACAAACAGATCACACTTCAACTAAAACTATAGAGTGATGATAGAAACAGGCAACTGGTGAAACAAGCAAGACATGACGACATGTGCTAGTTTATTTACACAGCATGAGGTTGCATGTCAGCCTTCTCCCGATTACTTTTGATGCTCCATTCATTTTTCAAATACTAATACTAAAAAGAAGCTGACAGCTGTGCCATGAAGAATTACAAAGTTTCGTGAGACGGCAGTGTTTTTGGATGTTCTGACAGCCAAGAACACTCCTTCACAGCATCATCATCAGAATCATGTCAAAGAGCAGTGCTTTGATACGTTTTAGTGGTTCACTAGATGATAGTGTTTAGCCTCCTTTTGCTTTTGGGATTGAGAGGAGGTGATTATGGGCCACAGAGTACGCCACTAATGGTTATCAAGCTGCCCTGATCAACAGAAGTGCCGCCAGATCTGCGAGATTATTTCTGGCCCATGCTTTGAGGTCCACAGCCACACAACTTTCACCTTATAAAACTCTCTTCCTGGTGATTATCGCAGGAAAGTGCTTTCTACACAAGCATGCGTAGTGGAGGCAGTTTCATCGAACGAAATGCTGGCATTATCTGAATTTCTTTGCACCTCTGCACTGTCCTAAATACAACTGCAATCAAAATGACCATTTCAAGCATACCATGCTGTTCACACATCACTACCTAAAAAGAGGCATATTCACTGCAAGTGATCACACTCAAGTTCTTTTTTTTTGGTTTTGTAGATTTGTTCCATAAACCCTAAACGACATAGACTCGTGTTTCTGAAGAATTAGAAACATAACAGATCCTCGCAGAATCCTCAAGTCATGTTCCTCTTTTTGTTATATCGCAGTCAAAGCATGCTGTTTAATGCCACTGAGCAAAAATACGTAAATATGAGGAACAGCCGTGGGCTAATCTTGCAAAATCAAGGATCGCCCGCTCAACAGACTCAGCGAGCCACAACAACAATAGGAGCATAAGACCAGTCTGGTGGCATTACCGAATTCTCGCGGCCTGCTGTCCTGGACACTGGGAGGCATTTCCTTGCATTCGGTCCACGGCCGAAAAGGGAGCTCTGGCGATGACTGTGCTTGCTTGAGTGCGGCATGCATCGAGGCCCACGACTCGAGCAGGGCGGAAGCTGGGCTCTTCCATCCACTCTGTGAGAGCCCCCAATGCAGTGATGGTGTTCACACGGTCGCATTAGTTTGTCCAAATGGAGTTCTCCAAAAATAATAACCACCAGAAAGTGCATGAACTTGTCTAACAATTAGGGGTGCCACAGCCAAAATAGAATTTGGAGCAATTTTTGGAGCAGCAAATTGTTACTTTTAGAGCACAAAGACTATATACCCGAAGGGAACCCTGATGGGATGCAAAGCAGAAGCGGTGCGCATGGCATTGACCCGGTTAAAATGGGTATTGACGCGGGTGCTGGAAGAACAGTTTGAAGCAAAACTCAGTGTAGCATTTACTTGAGTAAACATTTGTGCGAAATGCAAAGACAGCGGAGGCAGGACACATTGAAGACACTTGTGCTTGGCTTCCTTGGCTCGCGTCTTGTCGTTGTCGGTGGTTGACTCGCACCTTGTCGGTGTCGGTGGTATTCAACTGCCAACACTTGCGTTCGGCTTCCCTGGCTCGCGCCTTGTCAGTGTTGATGACATTATTCGCGAACATGATCGACTTCGCTAACCCTCGCAACGCTGGCGACAGCCAGGAAAGGTACGCGCACACTAGTGGGAAGCATGCCCCGACGGTGTCCCACCCGTCGGCGTGATCGCGCGGCAAGCAGCGGTGTGCTGTCCACATTGTCGGCGCCGCGAGATTCTCAGAGCAAGCACAGCACTCACACCCGCCGGCTCATGGCTTCTTCTCGCCAACAGATGGAGAGAGGTGGCACGGGTGAAATGTTGCCCACTTGAGGAGTGGGCTCGAGTGTTGCGAGCGGTGGAGAGGGTGAAGCGAGAGAAATCAACACACATTGATAAGAGGGCGTGAGCGTGCAGTGTCAGTAAGAGCACTGCTATTTCACTAAAATTAGTATTATGAACCATCTCCCTGAGCAAATGATAATGTCCAAATCAGCACTTGCAAGGTCTGACTCTGCAAATTCAAATGTGGATCTACCAAGCTGGCGAGCTTAAGATTCCAGGATTCATAGGGGTGGCGAACAAATAAAAACTGGTAGACAGTTTTTTTTAGGGCACAAAACATGTCATACACTGCTCGAAATAATTGCCAGTAACTTTTTCAAGTGCCATCGATCGTACTACTACTCACAATTATGCGCCGTATATACGCATGAGTAGTTGAACAATATGTGCTGTGTCCAGTGATTAGTGCTAACAGCCCCTTCAAAATCAAAGCGCGCTTTTCTGCAGGACACTGGTGTACTGAGTGAATTGAGGTGAATTAAGCAGCATTCTGCATGAGCTAGAACAAGTCATAAAACACCGCTACCCCCCCTCTTTATTTTTCGCGATAGGATTTGGTTTAGGGCATAACTTCTTGTCTCACTTGCAAGGCACGCTCGACAAGCTAAAAGTAACAACGGCGTGTGCTTATTGGCCCGGCGACGACACCGGATATTCATTGCTGGGACGACGTAACTTCAAGACAGAAAAATGTTTTATGGGCTGTTGCTATGGCTACCAACGTGGTCGCCGGCAACACTAATTTTCGCAGGACGTCGGGTCTGTTCATGAATAGGAAATGTGGCATACGCTTCCAGCTTTAGTTGCTAACATGTCATAGCCACGTTTACTAACTAGGAAGTTCATATTTCCCATGAAGCATTGGTGGCTATAGCATCACTTTTTTTTTTTTTTTTTTTTCGAGTTGTGTCGTCCTACCAATAGGTATCCGCAGCTGTCAGCAGACGGATGGCGCGTGGCTTTGTTACTTTAGCTGATTGCGTGTTGCGAGTGCCCTGACCTAATGGAGATACTATATCTTACACTATAGATTGGGGTTAGGGTCTGAGCGCTTGGATTGATTGATGACGCAAACTGAAAGCCGATAGCCAACTTGGGAGCTGTTTCTCGCTGAAATTAGCGCAACTGAGAAAACTTCAAGGCTGGTCGAGCCTTTGGGCACCAGCGTGGCGCAATTTCAGCAAATTTCATGGTTTTGGCGCAGCTCGGGGGAAGAATGGGGAATTACAGTCGAATCTCATTAATTAGAACACACTTAATTTGAACTTCCGGTTAATAAGAACTGACACTGTGGTCTCGTCAAAATATGTATATTCCAATGGGCGAAAACGCTCTGTAATTCGAACGCACAAGCACTTGCGACGGTTAATTCAAACATACCGCGCTACGAAAATGCTCTCAGCACCAGACCCAATTTTATTTTGTGATGGGACTTCTGACACTTCAACACTGCGTGTGAAGAAGGAAAAAAAGAAAAGGAGGGAAAAGGCTGCGGCGGAATTTTCGCTCTCTCTCAAAAGCCGATCAGCCATGCGCCTGCACCACGCTTTTCCCTTTTCCATCCCTGTCACATAGAGACCCTTCTCCTTTCAACCCCACGTGGGAAGAGAGCAAGAAAAAGCTGCCATGGAGTGTTCATTCTCTCCCGAATGCCGATCTGCTTCTCTCCGTGTGGAGACGCTCCTCCAATCTCGTCCCGTGCTGGCCACGCTGTAGCTACGATGCAGAGGGTAGCAGCGGAAAAGCAGTCATCGTCTTTAGAGGGTGTCGGCGCTAGACATCGCCACGCGCACCTACTCGTGTTAGGAGAATGCTGAAGCCAAAATAGAACCCTTTGCAAGCTGCATGCAAAATCGATAGACTTGCAGCAAAGCAAATGTGTGCAGATGCGTATCACTGATTACTTCAATTATTGACGGATGTCGTGTGATTTGTGGATAAATGTAAGTCTTCTTAAACTTTCCCCTCATGTGTTAGCTCAATGCGCATGCGCCACTGCATAGTGAGCCCTCCGTTCATTTAGCTTTCATTAATTCCAGCAAATTTTCGGGCCCATCCGAGTTCAAATTATCGAGATTTGACGATATATCAAATTGGCGCAATTGGCACAGCTATTCCACCCCTGAACAATACAGTAGAATCTCAGGTGATACAAATTCAAAGGGAGCACGCAAAATATTCATATCATCCCGAATTCATATCAACCAAAAACAAGTTAAAGCTGATCATGAAGGTGAACAAGAACTTTAGAGAGGTGAACTACTTCTTGCTGAAAAAAAAAGTCCATGATGTTCTTTCGAACTTTCCTGCCTTTACCTTTACCGCCTTTCAAAAAAATGCCGCAGCTTTCTCACTCATACTACTGCCGCTTAAAGCGCTTTCGCACTTGGCATCAACGGGAGCGAAAGCGCCAAACCTTGTTATAAATCCACTTGCTTCGTCGCTTAAGTGGCCGGAAATACGCGTTGTGATGCCGGCATGAAAAAGATCAGGCACACGGGAGAATTTAGGTGAAAATGCTAGAGCGGCCACAAATCCACATCTGCACCTATTGAAAATGTTCACATTCATTGTGCCAACCTCCGCTGCCTTCGCTGCTTGAGAATTCATTCCATTTTACTCGTTTCCTGAGCATCTGAATTCGTACAGAGTTCTAGTTTTGCATGCACAGGGTGCAGCAGCCAAAATACTATTTGGAGAAATTTTTAGAGCAGCGAAATGTTACTTTTGGAGCACTAATTTCCAAATTTGAAGCAGGTTGTGGGGAAAAATATGCATTTTTAGTATAAAATACTAAATTTGGGGAAGAGAAGGCTTACATTGGAAAAAAAAATTTTTAAACGATTCAACATCATCTAAATCAAGCACTGCACTGCTATTTCAATTAAAGTAGTATTTTGAACCACCCCGCTGAGAAAACAACGATAAAGTCCATATCAGCACTTGCTGTGCCTGTCAAATCATTTGACAAACTCTGCAAATTTAAACATCAATCTGCCAAGCTCGTGACCATAAAATTTGGGAGATTTTTAAAACCAAGAAGTAGGCGTGGCAAAAAAAAAAAGGCGTACAATTTAGTTTTTTTTTTGGGGGGGAAACGGAAATGTCATACACTGCTGTAAATGATCGCACGTAGCTTATTTATACTAGTACTCAGAATTGTGCACCGTACAAACACATGAGTAACTGAACAAAATTTGCAGTGTCCCATGACTAGCGCTAACAGCCCCCTCAAACCTCAACACGCTTTTGAGCAAGTCACAGGTGTACTGTGGCAATGGTGCCTCAAGTAGCACTAGAACAAAGCCATGAAATTTTTTAACCGCTGCCCCCTCTCCCACCCTTCCCGCCTCTTTTTTTTCTTTCACCGTGGGGTTATATACCTCTTTGGCTCCCTTGCAAGCTGTGTTTCACCGCGTAAAGTAACAACGGCGCGTGCCCACAGGCCCAGGGACAGTACGGGATATCTATCGCCCGGACCGCGGCAGGGACGATGCAACTACAAGACAAAAATAGATGTTTTATGAGCCACCGCTAAGGCAATCAACATGGACCCTGGAAACGCTGGCATTCACAGCACGTCCAGCTTGTTCACGCGAGAAAAATACGGTATACGCTTCCAGCTTTAGTTTTTAATAAGCCGTCGGCACGTTTTCAGGCTAGAAAATTTATATTTCCCGTGAACCGTTGGTGGCTTCAGCAACGCATTTCTGTCTTGAAGTTTCGTTGTCGTGCCGATACATATCTGCTGCGGTCAGTGGACCGATGGGCGTGTAGCGTGGTTACATTATCTGGTTGATCGCGTCTTGAGTGTGTAGGGCGGGTGGCTAGAATAGTTCAAGTATTCTAGGCACTATAGTGCAGGTCTGCACGCTTTGACTGAGGACACAAGCTGCAGGTGGCCAATGTGGCCTGCATTTCTTGCCTAAATTCGCGCACCTGAAGAAAATTTTGAGACTGGCTGGGCATTTTGGTGCAGCATGGCACAATTTCAGCAAATTTCATGGTTTTAGCGCAGCTTGGTGAAACAATCGAGAATTTTATCCGATTGGCCCAATTGGCACAGCTGTTGCACCCCTGCATGCAAAGCACTGAAAAGAAACAGCTTACATTTGTACAAAAGTTGTTTCGGGAGATACGTCAGTGTAAACGACACGAGCGGACACACACTGATAGCGGTGGCGACGGATTCAACCGGCAGTGCAAAAGTGAGACTGTTAGTGCATGCTGACTCGCTTCTGCTGCACCTTCTTCCTCAGCGATCGTAATCCAAACTAGGCTCTCGTTGAACGCATCCTTGACACAGCCGTGAGTTTTGTCGTGCTGAGAAAGTAGTTTGCGATTGCACCGATGCGAGCCACTGCCGACGCTTTTGCCGCCATGTTGAATTTGCAGCTTGTTAACATCGCACGGTCTGAGAGCTAGTGAAGCCAGTGTAGCCAAAGCCGTGAGGCGAAAAGACGATTTACTATCGCGTGGTGGAAAAATGGTTTCAGGCCGATTTTTTCATGTCATCCTCGCGACTAGGTTTTCTGGCCCCGCGAAGCGAGGAATATTGCCGCGAGTTTTGCCGCATTCCCTCCATTCGAGGCAAAGTGTGAACGAGCCTTCCTGCCACAGACAAGCCATGTTGCACCGTTCACATGCAGTGGTAATTGATGCGTTCATATCATGTATAATGTAGTGCATCCGAAGCAACCATAAAATTCGTATCATCGCAAAATTCGTATCGACCGTAATTGTACCATTGAAATTCTACTGTAATAAAAAAGCACCTTCAAATGTCAAACAACTCCTAAATATCTACGTACTGAAGGTATACATGTCTATTGTACAGATACTTTTCTTGCATGAAAAAGTGATTTTAATTTGTTGAAACTACATCTCAATATAGCTGGGTGACAATATTTACACTGTGTGGCAACTGTGCGCATGACATGACAGAGAAGCTGGAACCAATCCAAGATGGGTATCGCTCTACTCACGTTGCACAGGGTGGTGGGGTCCTGAGCTACACCTTGAGCATTCTGTTCGAGGCGGGAGAGCCTGTAGCAATAATAATGAAAAATGGCAAAAGATTAGCATTGGCCCGGCATTTGCCTTTGGTATACTTATTAACATAGATGATATGCTCCCTTTTAACGTCTTGCATACGCTCCAAGTTCCTACATCACAGTTATCCGATTATGGGTGTTACCCTATGAATGCAGGGGTGCAATCGCCGAAATGAAATTTGGAGCAATTTTTGGAGCAGTAAAATGTTACTTCTGGAGCACTGAAATCCAAATTTGGAGCAAATTGTTGAGAAAAAATTAATTTTTGATCATAAAAAACTGAATTTGTGGCAGTATCAAAAGAAGGCTTATATTTAGAAAAACATGTACCAACCAATCAACATCCCCTAAATCACGCAGAGTGAATATGAGCACTGCTATTTCAGTAAAACTATTTTGAACCACCCCACCGGGCAAACAATGATGAAGTCCACATTAGCATTTGCCCCGCCGGTCAAATCTTTTGACAGGCTCTGAGGATTCAAATGTCGATTTGCCAAGTTGGCGACCTTAGCGGAGGGGAAAAAAACTGGCACACTGTTTTGTTTGATTTTTTTTAGGGTAGCACAAATGTTGTACAGTGCTCCAAAAAACAATTGCCAGCAACTTTTTAGATGTCGGCGATCATACCAGTACTCACAATTATGCTGCGTATACACGCATGAGTAATTGAACAAACTGTGCTCTGTGCTGTGACAAATACTAACAGCCCCTTCCAAATCCTAGAACGCTTTTTTGTAGGTCACCAGTGTACTGCGGCAAAGGTGGCTTTAAGCGGCATTCTGCACAGGTTAGAACAAGGACAAAATATTTTAGAACCACCACTACAGCCCCCCCCCCCCTCAATTAGGTTTAGGGTACAACTTCAAATGTAATCTAGTGAAACACGCTTGCAAGGCATATTTCACTAGATAAAGTAACACCGGCACGTACCCATTGACCCAGTGATGGCACCACTTATCTATGGTATGCGTCATTGCTATAGCAACTACACGTGGTTGCAGACAACACCGGCATTCACAGCACGTCGAGTTTGTTCATGTGCAGTAACAGCAGCATACGCTTCCACTTTAGATTTTTATCCATTGCAGTCAGTGAACCAACAGGCGCACGGCGATGTTACTTTATTTGGTCGATTGCATTTCGCGAATGTCCTGCTGTGGTTTAGGGTAAGGGTCGGAGCGCCTTTATTCCTGGATTGATTGAGGACGCAAACTACAGGTGGCCATTGCGGCCTTCGTTTTTTGCTGAAATCAGCTCACGAGCATTTCGGCTCAGCGTGGTGTAATTTCGGCAGATTTCATGGTTTTCGCGCAGCTCAGCACAAAAATGAAAGATCAAATTGGAGCAGCTGTAGTGGGAAGAGTCTTCTTAACGCAGGTAATTTTTTTTTTCCAGTATATGTCCCCCTTACCCTATGCTATAAGAACCGCCTGTAAAGTACATTAAATAAATCAATAATATTCCGTGGCAGATGAATAGAATTGCACCAGGTGTCAAAACATGTGAGCCGCACAACAAATGGGCGGCTGATTGGTTCATCCTTGTCACTGGGACAAAGCAGGGCACAATCCTGACAGGACACAAAGTGAAGAGATGACAGTGTTACCACTCCTTCTTTGTCTTGCGTACAAGTTCACCCATTACAAAGTGCTCAAACATGTTTGCGTGTTGCCTTAATAAACATGCAGTGGGTCTTTTGCAGGTTCACAAAAAGAACAGTCAAGTCATAGTGGGGACTTGATAACTGTACTTAGGAGAGACATTTTAGGAAAGTTTCAAACAGCCAAAGTTAAATGCACAGTTGTTCTTTCCCTTACGGCACAGTTGAGGCATGCACTGAGAACCAAAGCAGACTAGCACTTGAGAAGACAGTGGTCACGTGGTTCGAATACAGTGTCGCGTTTTACTCTTGAAGGCGAAGATCAAGTGTTCTTCAAGTTTTTTAAGCGTGCCTCTTTTATTCAAAAATAAACAAGCTAGTGGTGGAACGGGGTTCACGGATTTAGGAGCAGTCTTGGGAACAGGCAAAAGTGATTTTTGTAGCAGGCTTGAAGTACCAAGATAGGTGTTTCGGTGCAGGCATGGATTAGCTAGAAAGACATTATGAGCAAACTTAGAGCAGCCAGAAAGGCCTCTTCAAGCAAGTGTAAAGCAGTAAGAACATTGAGAGCAGATTTAGCCCAGTTCAAAGCTCATGTGAATTAACATTTGTTCAATGCTACATTTTTCAAACACTCAGCTAAATTGTGCAATAGCCTCATTCATGCAAAAAATATTATATAGGCGCTCCCACCAGGTTTTTGCCATTGCTGTCGTGTCACGTATGAATTCCAAATCGATAACATACCACCGCGCATCGTCTGTTTTATACATGCATAAAAGCGCACGGGCGGGGGCGACGTATGCGATTGAAGCAGAGATTAAGCGATCCGGCCCATCTCTGCCACTCGGAGGGCGCGTGTGATAACATCCTTTACCCCTGCCCGGGAGGCCTGTAGTTGAAGTAGAGCGAAAGCACTCAACCCGTCATAGAAGAGCAGAAAAAAAAAAAAAAATGAGGAGGGGGGGGGGGGGCAGCTGTCGCTTAAGCAACAATCATGAACTTAGCTTGTAATGGCGTGGTCGCGATCGCTGGTGTGCACGTTAACTAGGCAGCCATTAGCGGGCGACTCGCATACATTTCCGCAGATTGCACTATCATTGCTAAGAGACTGTGTGAAAAGTGCTTCTCTCCTTGAAGTGGCTCTATTCCCGTATATCAACGTTTGTGCAGCTATGTGAAATCGGAACCAAGAGAGTTAGCTGCCGGCCTCACTTCGTATAACATTACGATTTGCTGCTATCGCATTCACTACTTCACCCTTACAATGCAACTGTGACTTTCTTTCGTTATCTAGAGCCCCCCCCCCTGAATGCGTGAGCGAGCGTCAACCACCGAGTCGATAAGCCCAAAGCGCAGCAGTCAATGAACGAGAATCAATGAGCAGTCATGTGCACCTGCCTTTGCTAGGCTGAACCGGGAACTGCACACCACCCCTCTTATGAGCCCCTGTCACAGATATCCTTCATTTCTTTACCGAACGTTGCCATCATGTCATAAAAAAAGTTTCACCAAAATGGTAACGCGACTACTGCGATAGCAACAAACTAAGCCTGGCGGCGAACTCTTAGATCGGATATTGCGTACCTCTACAAAACGCTGGAATAAAAGAATATAGCCGTGCCAGCGAGAGATACTCTTCTCCCAGTCTCTTCACATTGAGAGCGTAGCACTTGGAATGGTTCTCAAGCTATTCATGCCGATACCTGCCACGATCGCACGCGCATAGACGGTTACTCTTGAAGCAATCATAGCCTTTAAGAAAACGATACTATAACCATTTCGATGGAATGAAAAAGAATGTTTCAGCCACGTTTCCGGAAATGGTGCTTGATGGCTTTCGCACTTTTCGGCTGAATTCTGGTGCAGCAGTGCAGTGCCGCGCTGATAAGCGAGTTGGACGCAGCAGGGGTGGTTTGGCGCAGGATGGCGCAGGTAAGCATGTTTGGCGTACAATGGCACAAATGGCGCAGCTGTTCCACCCCTGGAACTAGGCCAATCTGCGATTTTGCTACCATTGCATCCCAATGTTTTTAAGCCATACTGTTTTTTTATTAAAACTCGCTTGCACAAGTTGGCTCATACTTCAAGGTAAAACTGGTGCGCACAAACGGGCACTGCATGAATGAGCGTGCAAGGGAACACAAGCTGTCAATTAGAAACAATGGGAACTCCCATTCACCTGCACATTGTCAGGCTTGCATGTGTGCACTGACTTTCCGAAAGATTAAGATACTGAGCAGCAGCAATGACATTGCAGCCCGCAAACTTATGGAGGCTTTCTATATATTCGTAAGAGACAACACTTGATTAAGCGACACGTCTGCATCATTATTTGATAGAGAGTGCAAATTTTTTGCACTTTCTCTTGTAACCAGTCTGATCGTGACCACTTTTATTACTTGCACAAGTCTCCCTTAGGAGTATACATTGAAGGGTAACAAAATATAAAAGTTAGCAGAAAGTTTGTGCCCGTCCCTGTTTACTCTTTCTGTGTTGTAGTTCTGTTTATTTGCATGTACAAGTGAAAACTTTGACATCTAGTACATTCGAAACCACTAGATAACCACTTATTTTCATTCTTAATGATTATTTTAAGAAATACACCATGCATAGGCTCTCAACATGTTATTTTTTTATATGTCCTTTCTAATAAAATCTGCAGAGTGTGTGCACAAAAACAAACTGTGCAAAAATGAGAATGTACACAAGGCAAAGAAGGAACGGCAACAGCATTGCTGTCATCTCTTCCCCTTGCATCCTGTCAGAATTGTGCCCTGCTTTTTCATAGTCACAAGCATGTAGCAACTATCCCAAGCCGCAGCTCTACAATGCAGACAATAACACAAAGAAAAGAGGAACCACTAGGTTCATGCCATCAGACTCGTTACCACTAAAGAGACTATGATTTTCTTGTAAACAAAAGACTAAAAATACTAGTGAAACATAAATTTACGGTAGGTTTAGCTCATTCGTGCCAATGTTGCGATGTTACTTCAGACCCCAAAACCAGGTTCAAAACTGAACCTTTTGACAGAGCTGAATATCTGACTGTGTAATTAATTAGGACTTTCACAATGCTCTAACCAAAAATGGGTTTATTTTCCAACGTTTTGAAACCTACTCAGTTGCTCCTTCACTGGCAGCGGAGGTGTTGAGGTGCAACTCATAACTGCATGGGGGTTGATGGGCCGGAGGCGACCAAGGACTGCTGAACTTTCAGTTTGGCTTGCTTTTCTTGCTGTTGTTAGGCTGTGGACGTAAACAGACAGTAGTTTTTCTTTTGACCAGTTTATGTTGTTTTTGGTGCTTCGGATGTACCATGATTCCAGTAACAGCCATTTTGTAGGTTTGTTTCTGTTGTCATGTTGTCGGTTTTTTTCGAAAGC